ATTAGTTATAAATACAATTTTTATGTGGCTTTCATTTCTTCATACATGTCTCTTATAATTGTTAAACAATTTTATTTGACACCAACCTATTTTAAAGAATAGTAATTATGCATGACCCCATGTGGAACCCTGCTACCAAAACCTATTTAGCGTTTAAAAGGAAGAGAACAAACAGTGATATGACACAACAAACACAATCGGATCATGTGCGAACACCACGGGTAAAACAAAGGTCAGTCAGTCCTTTGTGTTTCTGTCCTGATCAGATCGAGACTGTCGCTCTAACCAATGCAACTCCGTTACCAAAATAACCAAAACAAGACAAATTAATTTCAGTTTCCTTCTTTTGTTTAGGTAACTCCATTTAGCTGGCATTCTTTCCACAGAAAGCACTAATTCTAGGTCTAGCACTACCTTAAATCTAAAAAAACAAAAAAAACCTCACTGCAAATAAATGTTAAAAATTCAGTATATTTAAACCTTGTTATATTATTTTAATTAATAACAATAGTTTATCTCAAATCTCAAAAGCGTTTAATCATTTAATACATTGTGAAAATCTGAAAGAAAGAATAAAAGGTGTGACAATTGACAATTTGAAAAGTTGCTTACATTAATATAAATTAAGCCTTGTCTGAATTTGCATTGAGTTTGAATGAGTATTCAGCATAATGATGACTATCTTTTACTTACATTAACTTGGTAGTCAGGTTTATTTAAGGAATATTTTTCAAAATCGACTTTTTCTAGTTTTGGTAAAGTAAACAAACTTGGTTTTAGTAAACGAGCAGCCCAATGATAGCACACAAAAATTAAAATATCGCATTAAAAACTGTACCTTTGAGGCCCCAACTGGACAAATCTTTTTAACTGTTTTCTTATGGTTTCCCTTAAACATATACAATAAATTGATGAATTAAATAGACGTTTTTTAGGCCTAAATTGTTCTCCACGAACGATCCAAAGCTTCCTTAGAAATCTATGAGTGGTGGCACTCATTAAAAAAATAAAATTTAATTGAGTTGAATGAATTTAAATTCTAATTAAGATCTAAAATTACTAAATTGGCTCGCGTATCATTTTTTTATATAGACAGACATATGAACGTACTCTTTCCAAGCCTACGGCTTAGATATAAACTAAGATATGTTAACAATAAGTATTGACAGTAGTGTTTCACAGTGTAAGGCTGGTTAAGTGTGGGTGAGTGCAGTTATCGTTTAATGAGCCAGTGGACCTCACAGTAGGTTTCTGAAATGACGTTAACGTTGATTAGCCGCAGCTAGCATGGGAGATGCCTATGAAATCGGGTGAAGTGCCAAAGCTTAGCAGCGGGAACCAAGCAGGGGTTAGGTCTCTGTTTATCAACTAATCATTAACTAAAAACAGGATGGGACATTTCTTTTACTCTCTTTTAATCAGCAGAGTCCCCCAGAAGAGAAAAACGGTAAAACGTTTCGCGGCTAACTAGCTAATTAGCCAAAAGCTGAAGTTTAACTGATGTCAACTACTTACGCATTGATAGTCTCCTGAATGAGTGTTAAAAAATATGCAGCGTGAATCGTTACTTATTGACTTTGGATCTGGACTAGCCATATTTGATTCGCAGCGATTTTCAGCCAATTTCGCTTCGATTTGTTTTTATTTTGCTGTAGCTTTCCATTGACTTCCTGTTTCTACCGTGTGCGCAAGGGAACAAAACTGATAGACACTGCGAAAAAATCGAGTCCAGACGTTTTGTAGCCCATGTTTCTGAAAGCCATACAAAAATATGTTTTTTGAAAAGTACAGTGATGAGGTAAGGTTTTGATCAGGTGTTCTGACCCACTATTTTCAAATTAGGGATTGTATATGTGTGTGTTTGTGTGTGTGTGCGCACGAGTATGTTTATATATGTATATATCTGTAAATTTGTATATCTTTTGGCGTGTTAGTGGGGTTATAAATGCAAATACATTCAACAAAGGAAGAATTTATGATGGATGGGGCATAAACAGAAAGAAAAAGTGTTGACGATTAGTTATCAAATACTGGAAAGGGGTGGGATTAAATGAGTTTATGCTTCCCCCTACTCCCTTTTGAACATGCAAGTTATTTATATGTATTATTGTTTTGTTTTCGTTTTGTTTTGCTCAGTTTTTGTGTCTCTTTTTTCTCTGTTGTTGTTGTACTATTTCAATATGTTCAAAATAAATAAAAAAAATACCTCTGTTCTCCAGTTTAACAAAAGGACAATAAAGCAGAAACATTACCTGTCCTGATGTGTTATGGTGAAATGTGTAAGGTTTATATGACCATAAAAATATGATGACATAACAAGATTGTTTTTATTATAGCATAACATCTCCCCAAAATTAAAAGAACCTTTACGCTGAGTAAGCTAGTGAATGTTCACATGAACAAAGTTTTGCATTGTTATGTTTTTATTTAAGCAAGATATCTCATACCAGTTAACCTGTAGTATGCAACTAAGAGGTCGCAAAGTCCCCCATGTCTAACGTGATTATGGGCACAAACAATTAAACAAACATAAACAAGCACACCACACAAAACATAACCTTGTGATTCCATTAAAGCATGTTGCAGCATTACTGTCTGGTGACTGTCAACAAAAGCCTTTCTGGTAGTTTCTGGTAGCCATTTTAAGGTTGAGATTAAGATAAGATTGTACTATCTCAGCGGATGTTTTTACAAACTGCCAGCTCATTTTGACTACTGATAAATGTAGCAAAGCATGTTACCTTTGTCCTTCGCATGGGCAGGTTTTAGATTTTGTGCAAAACCTCTGAGATGTTTGAAGATTTTTTATTTTTGTGGACTAGGCTCTATTTATATACATTTTTAAGGACGTGTAAATTTAATGTTTCTCTGAAACAAGACAGGCAAGAGAAAATTAAGCAATGTTTTCACTTCATTCCATGTTTTGTGTCTCAATATTGGAGTGGTTTACACATTCACTTAACAACCTAATGATTCCCAGTTCATTCATAGGAGGAATTTTTCCTTTTGGGACTGCATCAGGAAGAGCATCTGCCATATTAAACAGGCAGAGATACCCAGTGTGGTAGCCATTAGTAGCTTTCTATTAGTTATTGTAGATTTTGTTCATGCATTGCATTGGGTATAATTAAATATACAAGTTAAATAAAAGTCAAAAGAAAACATCTTTATTTCAGTTAGCTGTAGAGAGCTTGGCTGCATCACAGAGATAAATGTACTAAGTGCGCTTCATTCCTCAAATGTCACCTTTCCTTTCAAATTGCCTTATTAGCTGAGAAATTTGCTGATGATTGTAGCTTTTTGTTTTCTGCAGTTCTACACAAGTGTGAATGAGACAGAGAATCAAAGTGGAAAGTGGGTGTGTGCATTTTTGTTGCCCTATTGTTACACTGGAACTCCAGCTGTACCTGCTGGTCTTTGAGGCTATCACTGCCTCAGTGAAGGAAATCTGTTTTCTGGGTGTTTTCTGGGTGTTACATTAGTGTGTAACAATGTGTAACACATGTGTATATTCACAACAGACTTGGCACTCCTTTTCATGCGTTCCAAAATGCTTACATACTGTAAAATGTTAGTTTGATGAAAGTAGTTACAGAGCACACTTAACTGCCACAGGTATTCCCAGACTGCAGGAAAATGCTGATTGAACAGTGTAATTTAAAATATTTTACATATTTTCTTTCTGTGTCATACACTTAGTTAGTTGGAAATATCCAGAGGAAACGATGAGATTTTAAGAAGTCTTTTTCGACACATTCAAATACATGTAATATTATCAGCCTTTTATCACACAATAAACTGGTTTAAGAGCCCAGTTGGGTTAAGGTGTTGTCACTCGAAACTTAACTGACAGGAAGCATTCCTTCTACTTCTACTCTATAACATGTTTTTAAATTCCAAATGGCTGAATGCAATTGTGGTAAATCTGAAGGTCAGAATGCCTTTCTGTGAATCTTTTGGTTTTTAACCTCAGAGGTTATAGAACGGACAAAACTGCAGTATTGTTGGGTCAGGCTGCATATTTTGGCAGTCTATTGACTGCAAATACAAAAAGATCAACTAATTCCCTTGCTGGTTTTGAGATCCACCTTTCCCCGGAGATTATCTTTAGAAAATGCAGACAATGCTACAGCGTCATAACTTGTTTTTTTATTCAACAACAACACAAATGATCAAAAAAGAAAAAGAAACAAAACAAAAGTGCAGTTGAGCAACAAAATATTTGGGTGTTTTGATAAAATAACTCGAACAAAACTCATACTTTATCTGTCACCAGCTGATAAGAGCTCAGAACAATGACTTTACACAACCATCATCACAAATGAAACTGTGAGATAACCAGTCGTTTTTAAAAGTCAAGGGTTGAAGCTGAATGCAACCAGGAAGTCTGGATGTTTCCGTTCTCTCTGTTTTGTAATGTATAACCTGGCTCTTTCCATCTCTGGATGCATGTTCATGTTGCATATTATTTTAAAAAGATGGTTCAAGTTTATAATGCATAACTTGTGGCAACTCTTAACATTACCAACACTCTGAATGTTTAAGAATAGTCTACAGGCTTTCAATGTGATCAAAAGAGGAAAGATCAGTTGTGTTAGGTGTTTAGCTTTAAAGCAAATCACAAGTAAAAATCAAGAAATAACTCCATTTTTTGCCATCTTTACTCAATAGTTATTCAATTTGTATAGTATCTGTTCACAAAAGTCAACTCAAGGAACTTTAGATTATAAGGTAAAGGCTCTACAATAATATAGAGAAACCACAACAATCACACAATCAGCAAGTGCCTGGCGACAGTGGGAAGGAAAAACTCCCTTTTAACAGGAAGAAACGGGCAGCAGAACCACGCTCAAGGCAGGGCGACCATCTGCCACAAAGGCTGGGAGTGAGGGGAGGGAGACAGAACAAAATAATACGCTATAATAATCTCCCACTTTTTATCTAAAATGTAAAACTGCAGTGATTTTACAAAAAGAAAAAACAAAACACAACAAGTGCAATAAGTTTCTATAAAAGTTTATTTTAAAGACAAATATTACCAAGTACAAAAATGGGGCATAAGGTGCATACAAAAGCATCGGCTTAAATTGACAGATGGACATAACAGGGTAAAATTACAATAACTAATGTATCTCATGGAAAACCTCATTATTCTCCATCTAGAAGAATTATCCATTGTTTCCAGTTCATTGACCATTTAGGACATGAGGCGATCATGGGCAGCTACAATAAGCAACTGCCTCCTTCCAAAGAACTTTACATGAGACACATTAGACTAAAACAACAGTCAATACATACAGTTCATCTGAACACACTAACATCATCAGCGTCGCAGATAGGACGCTAAGTCTTTTGTCAGTATCCCTGTCAGTGAGGCGGTTCAGAAGAACAGTCTAAGATCCAACAGACCACTTCTTCTCCAACTTTGAAATAACATCTGGCTCTTAAACATACGGAGTGAGGTAATAAATTACACATTAAATAAAAGGCTTAAATACGTTTCATCTGTGGATCACTTGAGCTGAAAGCATTCTGCGTGTGACACTTTGGAGTGCAAAAATATAGTCAAGTGTGATGAGCACGCAAATGCTTTCTCCAAGATCAACACATCTACAGTCAAGACCACAGAGTAGACCAACACCATTTAGGCCTGCAGATAAAAATAGCTGCTTTCTTTTCTACCATTCAAATGTTTGTCCATGTATTTCATCAGTAGTAACAGCAGCAGCAGCATGAAGGCCTATTCAAAGAAGACACTTTTGTCATTCAGTTAACGAAAAGAGTCTGTGCGTCAAGGTTTATGTGGGCTCTGGGATTCTACTGGCCCCAACCTCCGATGCCAAGCTCCTTCTTGTAGCGCTTGGTGAGAGAGTTAGCCTGGTCCGTGAGCTTGGACAGCACCATTTGCAGCCCGGTGAGATGGTACTGGAACTGGCTCTGCAGATTCTCGTCTTCAATCTCGTCTTCCTCCTCGGATGAGGCTGAAGAGAGGGAGGACATCGACATCAAGGAGTGAGAGCGAGTGACTTTCATGCTCTCTTTGCGCGTCTCGTCGGAGGTGCCGTGCCTGACTCCCCACTCGATCTCCCCGCGGATAGATTTAAGCAGCTGGTAGTAGCTGTACATGTCCCCCTCGTCCTCCTCTGATTTCAGAGAGCTCATCTGGCTGTCCTCATCCAGCGGGACATCCCGCAGCAGGCTGGGCAACAGGATGGTCTGGTCCATGTTCTTTACGGCCCCGATGAAGCTGTTCATGGCGTTAAAGAGGGAGTTTTTCTGAGTTGTGGTTTCTTGCAGCTGCATCATCATCTTGTCGGTAGTTGTTTTTTTCCTCCAAACGTGAAAGCAATGATCCGAATGTCTTGTCTCGCTTTCCTCTCTTCTGTGTGTGCCCAGCTGTAATACCGCGCTGATCGGCTTTACGCAGAGGCTGCTTTTCTGTTAATGCTCCAGCGAAGATTGGCTGCCCTCAAGCAATCACTTGCTTTGGTAGTCGTGCTCGGTTCTTGAGCTTTATCGCTCAGTTGCTTGCTCTTCTCGATCGTTCTGAAACGCTTCGAAAGCGCTGGGATATATATATACACACAGGTAGTTTCAAGGCGGTGCCACAACCTGTTTGTCGAGTTCTACCAAGAGTAATCGGACCCAAATGACCTGAAATGGCACAGAGCAGAGAACAGAGGTTTGGCACTTTTTCTAGAAAAGGCGTGGCTTTATGTTGACAGGTAGACTAGAACACATTCCTCAGTAAACCTCAAACACCGATGCAAAGCTCGAGAAAAAGCTCAAAAACGAGTTCAGACGTCAATTAAAGCCGACTACACGCGATGTTTCACGGTGCGTATTTACGCGTAACAATTTCATCCCAAACTTCACTTACTGTGCAACGTGCCGTCCTGTAAACCTACAGTGTACCGCTGTCTTCCGGTAAAAAAGTCGCTGAGATTACATCACCACATCCCACATTCTGTTCCGATGAAGCACACAGGCACGTAGGGTGAGGCTGTAGCGTGCGGACCGGTATTATGAATATTCATTATCCAAGCCATCAGCCCATCACTTTGGTTTCCAGGCAAACCAATCATGGCCCGGAGGCGGGACAAGTCCGAGTTTGACCAATGAGGAGACGGTAGTCGTGCAAAAAGCACAGAAGCAACACGTGGGAGAAGTCCTTTCAACGATGTATATTTATAGTGTAGTTATTGGAATCCTTGAGAGCTCGACCACGTAGTGCCTGTTTTCTGCATGTGAAAGACACTCCGGTAAAACTGGTACTAATGTGGAGTTACTGGGTTCATGATCTGGAGTAAAAAAAAGCACAGGCAGCAAGTCTACAGCAGTGACATCAGCAAATTATAAGCAGCAGTATAATAGAAGTATTCAGTGGTTCTTTATCTGTATTAAACGTTAGTATAAGTGTTTACTGTTGCAGGTGGAGGGGGTGTAGCCTGTGTTAAATACTTTATAAAGCTGGGTGTTTTATTCCTGAGTTTCAACGTTGGGGTGTGTCACCTGCAAACAGTCATTACACAATTAATGCTTTAAGAAAGAGGGGAGAGTAATGTCCTGCAACATCTATCGCTCAATTATCTTTGAATTTTAATTCCTTTTTCTCTTTGTGGATCAGGTTTTATTTGGTTTGATAGCACAGGGAAGTTGCCTGGTGTCCTCTTATGCTAATCATATACAGTATGCTTACAGTCTATAATACTGTCAACTTGTTTTTTCATAAAGCAATTTCTTTTTTTGGTGTATTTTGTGTACAAAATACCCATAATAGGCAGAAATACCATGGATACTGTGCATCTATGGCAACAAAAATGCAATTAAAGTAACAAAAAATGTGATTAGAGTACAAGTTTACTCGTTACTGAGTACCAGTCTCACGCTAACAGAAATATAACAGGCCTGCTGAACTCCTCTCGGGGTAATTTAGTCCATAAACCAGGTGGAGCGCTGTCAAGGTTTGTGAGATTACGCTTAAAATCTGAACTGTTGCACCAGCCAGTTTCCAGCAGTGGTGGTGGGTAGCTGATTTTTGTCTGCCCTTCAGCTGCTGGTAAACAGGGGAACTCCCACACAGCCCCTGCATCAGAAATAGCCCAGTATTAGTACTTGATACACTAGGTGCACCCGGTGGGAGTCTGAAATCTGAGCTTTGGTAAACACTTCTGGCCAAGGTGAAACTGTACAAACATGTTTTCCACATACCACTGTCAGCAAAAATAAAATTCCACCATGTTGATCAAAATAAATGTAAATCAAAATGTGTTAAATCAAAACAGGGATAAGCTCATATGAATGATATTAGGATGAGTCGGAAGTTAAAGCACGGATAAAGGGGTGGCCTGAATCACGCTGTGTGTCTTGGAGCTGATGTATGCGGGCACGGTTTGTTCTTGATTCTTTGTAAATGCATCAGCATTCAAGAAGTCTCACTCAGCAAGAATTGTGAGAATGTGAAGACAAAAACCTGTTTGCTGGGTTTCTGTCTCTCTGTGTTTCGGAATCTACCTACAGCTTCTCTTTGTTATGTCCCTTGTCATATCGTTTCCATCACAGTTCCTCACCGCACACCCAGTGGTGGAGGAAGTATTCCTATTTAAGTAGGGTTTCAATAGGGCAATGTAAATAAAAAAATGTATGCGTTATTAATGAAACATACTTAAAGTATAAGAATCAAACTACTCACTATGTAAGCAGAAAGGTTGTGAGTCATTATTCTATTGCTCTATAACATATTATTGATTCATACTTATTCAAATTAAGCAAAAACTAATTTGTACTTTTTTAAATTATAATGCAAAGGTTAGCATGACAAAACTACAATATTTCCCTGTGAAATGCACTATTAGCAGAAAGTAGCATATAAGCATTAATGTAATGCTGCTTTTGTATGTTTTTGTTGACTTTCACTGTACTCTGTGTTTTATCATCTGTTTCAGTGCCCTAAACATATTTAAATACAGCAATATGCAAAAGTATCAAGCCAGCCTTCATTTCTTTATATTTTGTTAGGAAAATGAAAACTAGGCGCAGAGATTTATTGAAACGTGCAAACATGTATGGAAATACAGTACACAAGGCCAAAAGAGAGTCTGTGCAGCTCTGACAAGCTTGAAAATCAATAGTTTGACCACCTTTATTCTTCAACACAGTACTCTTCAGGTAGAGATCTCAGATTCTTTAACAATCCTTTTGTTCTGTTCTCTGTTAAAATGATCCACACTGCTTCAGTAATGTTGAGGCCTGTGTTCTGGGGAGGCCAATCCATGGCTGATAGTGTTCCTTTGTGTGTTTTTCTATTCATCTATGCCCTTTATTGCATTCTCAGTGTGTTTGGGATCATTGTCATTCTTGTCATTGTTTATCTGTTGTGTTTTAAGCCTGACATTTCTTCTTTTTCCTTTCAGTTTTCCAGTTTCCTCAAAAATCTTTTAAGGACACTCTGCACAGCATGCCGAGATGTGTAAAACTGTGTTTTTCATAGAGTCAACTAAAGACATGGGGGCAAATGATTTCTTTTTACAACATGCGACTAGTAACAAAGTGCCATTTCTTTGCTACGTTGCCTCAACACTGGTTCATCCCTTGAGTTAGGTGCAATTTTTTGTGCTTGAATGATTCATAGGTCAGTGTTAAATGGCATAAAAAACCCTGGAGAAGCCTGGAGAACTAGCATTATCACAAATTAAAAGAAAGTCTAGCACCTTGGAAGGAAACTAAAGAAAAGAGGGCAGCTCAAGATTTTTGCACAGTACTGTGCTGTAGAGTGAAGGCAAAATATTGAAGAAGTAAAAATGTGAATGCTTAAACAAAAGACCTTTTCTGGATAAAAGCAAATGTGCTTGGAGCCTTGTCCCTGTCCCACATCCCTCCCGTCCCAAAACTGCAAAGCCTCATGAAAACAAATGAACTAATCTTAGTGCTGCTTTGAAGATTAGCTGATTCCAGATCTAGTTAAGAAAAAAAAAAGAAGCAGGTCAGCAGAGCAAATGTGCACCACTGCAGAGGAGAGATGTGAAACTGGAGCTGGCTTTGCTTTCTCAACAGACCTGTCAGTCATGGGCCCCACCTCACTGAATTCCTCTATTCTCCCGTGAAAGGCCTTTCCACTTGTCAGAGGACGTACCGCGTCTGAATGCTACAACCAAACCCGGATCAGTTCGGGAGAGTTTCTCGATTGTGTGTCATGTCAGGAGCTGAGCATCCACCGATTACGGCGGGTGTCATCATCATCCCCGAGGCTTCAAAGAGTAAGGGAGAGGAGATAGAGGAGTAGGGGGAGGTGGTGGGGAGAGAGGGTTGGAGTGGTGTGCTGAGCTATAGGAACAGGCAGCTTGAGTGGGAACTCTAGTACTTGTCATCACAACTGCATGTTGCTGAAAAGTGTGAGGCAGGGGTGTCTGAGTTAAGCGGGGAAGCTTGAGGCGAAGCAGCAACAGCAATTAGAACAACAACAGCTGCGAGAACAACAGCGACAACAGCTCCCATCACAAACAGACAGGTGGAATGGGGCAGGCCTCCTATTTTACTTTATAAGACAGTAAATAAGGCGTCACCGTGGGGTGCAGACGGTAGGGTGTGTGTCTGTTTGTGTGTGTGAGAGGAAGGCGAGGAAGCTAGTTTTGGAAATGAAATTCATAATAAGATCATATTAAAGCAGTCAAAGTAATTCCTGTTGTGGATTTAATACGATTTTTAATCAGCCATTTTAAAAAACCCAACTTGTCTTTCATACTGAACCTTGTGCGCCGCTTAAGGCTGGCAGCCATCACTGAGACAAATCAGGAGCAGCGTCCAATGTAGCACATTAGCATTTACAACAATAAATGGGAACCTTCTAATGACATAATGTTTTCAGGTGAGAAGGACTTCCGATACTTGGGATACCACGACAGGGGTTTGAAAACTTTACAACAATACTGCAGTGAGTGATTTCCCTGTTTTTGTACAGTTGTTGGATTTCATGTAATATTGTAACTTATTTGTAAATTTTAAGCACATTTGGACTATTTAGTTACCCCAAAAGAATTATGTTAACACGCATTTCAAAGCTGTGGACTTTTGTGTTTTTAAAAGGCCTAAAAATAATGAAGCTGTTTGAGTGTCAGGAGGAGAATTTTGGGATTGCTGAATGTATCAACACCTTGCCACAGTGACCTTGGTTAAGATTGGTTTTTGGTTTTCTTTTCAGATTTCTGCGTCTTTGACTTATTGAATAAAACATCTTACTGATGATTGTTTGTTGTGCACTGAACTCTCTAAAGTCTGCAGAGTAAACTGAACAGTGCAGTCATGAAACCCATGAAAACAATGACTATGTCCCCGGCACAGGACAATGCAACTGCTAAAGCGGAGGAAAGCCGTCCTCAGTTTTAAATATGTCACTGTGCTTTTCCGACTTTGGCAGCGTCCCGATGCTTTTGAGAAAAGTCTCTGCTAAACTACAATAACTAGGTCAAGTCAAGCTGCTTAAACGAAGGCTTAAAGTGAAGTAGATGCAATTTCATAGAGAAAGAGCCTCGTGCACACCATCGCATTTAGGGGAAAAATAGGATGCGGCGTGGTTATACTAAGCTAAAATGAACGCAGTCGTAGCAGTTAACTTTTTTTCCCCATGATTGTTATTGCTCTAAACTGTTTAAGAGGGACATTGATTCAACTGTATGGTCATTTTGAGGCTGCAGGTATTGAACTTTATTGCAATACTCTGACCTAATTAAGACACCCCAACAAACGGGCTTTAAAGGATATTAAAAGAGACTTTAGGCTTTCCCACAGAGTCTGGTTATAATTTGCAGTCTGGGGGTGAAAGGGGGAGGGGCGTGGGTGGAGAGGGGGCCCCCACAACTCCTGACCTCAGTAGTTTTCTCTGACCGCCCTGCTGATCCACCGCGCACTCAGAGCGGTCACATTTCCGTCTGCTGGCTCATTTCAGAAGGCAGAGACTCTAAATTCTCCTTATGTTCTGTGTTTTCTTTTTTCTTTTCTTTCTTTCTTTTCTTTTTTTTAAAAAA